ATGACCTATTAATTTGATCTCAGAGATCTATTACAACCGCAATACTACGCTCAAGTTACAGTACAACAGTATTCACGCATTATAAGTAACTAGAACTCGATAATAAGACTCTGTGCCCAACTGGTACAATGAGTTTATATTAATTGTAGCAAAGGCATTTGTGGTATAATTTGGTTATATTTGACAATCAAATAGTTTCCGTTGAGTCGATCTTAGATGTTGCTATTATTTAAACTATTTAGCATATGTAAAAAAAAACACTACCACATAATGAACACAACAGACAAGGAGCAATGCTTCTGTCGCGTTGTTTCGTTTCTTTCTGATTTAAAAATGTCTAAATGAAGTTATATGTCTCATATTATTCGAGAAAAAAGTACTGGGTATTTCTGATTTATCTTTTGAGGCTTCTTGAAATTTTACAAATCGATGAAACTTCTAGCGAATGTAGTCTACAAACTTGAAAATCAATGTATTAAACCCGGTTACTGATTAAATTACAAGAAATAATAAACATTCGCACTGCGCATTCTTACTAATCTATGATGTATTTTATCAAGGACATGATAATGTTTTTTTTTGCTTACAAACTTTTTCATTTTATTACAAGGTAACACACAATTAACATGACTTACAAGCATCCTAATGTTTATAAGATTTTTCGAAGACTACGCACGATCACCGACTGCGAATAATTAATGTATTTTAGTTTATTATTAGCATACGAAATGATTGTGATCAAATTCTATACAACAAGAATTTGAAATTCAAACGGAAAGCATTTAAAATATTATTTCTCATAAGTCACATTTCTGATATTATCGATAATTGGTGATTATATAACTTGCTCCGTATCTTATTATAATTTTTTTTTCGATTATGATATCTATAACCTATTGGCCATTAGTTACACTAGAGATCCCTACACAAGATGATGATTCAACTAATGTGTTTTTTGTGTCCTGTAACCACAAGCTATTTCTTAACCTACAGTGATAAGGCATAATTGATTATTACAAAATAATAGAATAATTTCAATTGGATTGGATATAATTATCGTTCGAACATTAAACTGACTTCACTGCGTGTAAACCCCTTAGTAAATTTCATTATTTTTTCCAGTCTACTATTTAGTTTAGCCATTGAAGCATGTTATTTAAAAAAAATACTGAAAATATTTATAGCCAGACAAATTAAGAAACTACTTTTCGCAATTGATTAATAACAAGTATCTTGAAATGTTCACTAAGACATTTTTAATAGTTTGGTCAATGTAAGTTTTTTAGGTGACTCGTCAATTTTACACGTTACCTCTAAGTTATAGGACATAGACATTATTTGAGAAATGTTAAACGCAATGCCAAGAACGTTTAGTTGAGTTAAGAGGGACGAACGACTAACTAAAAATAATACACGACGGATTGAGGTAGCATAAAGTTATAAAAAACTTAAACGACACATAGATTTGATTACAAACGCACAACATAATACTGCTAAACCTATGATTTAAATTAAACGACTGAACGATATATCCCACTTAAGAACACAACAAAAAGTTCAGTAAACGTGCAGACACGTTCATCAATCCTATACCGTTGATATTAATAAATATTATCGCTACAAAGAGACTTCTCAAGATAAATGTGCTCAGGATAATTAAGTTTTCACTAAATATACCTACTTACATGAGAGCAATTCGCCTAATTGTATAATGATTTCATTTTGAAAACACACGATATTAATTACCTACATCTATCTGTTTCAACACAGCTATCGTTATAGCTATTGTGATTATAATATCAATAAACTTTCATCTTTCACTAGCGTGATCAAGCTTTTTGCTTTTTCTTTAATTAACCTGTCTCGCTCGATATACTTAAATATTTTAATATTAGTAAACATATCGTGCATTATCGAAATGTGAAGCCTTATTTATGATTGCTTTATTAGAGATATGAGCTATGCGGCGGTCTATCCTATCTCTTCTTTCAATTCCTCGTCTCCTAATTACTATTAACTAGTACACGCATGCCTTAATCTAAGGAGTAAAATAAAATTTTGATCCAAATTTCAACCTAACAACTAAACATGATAATTTTATCAAAATGATCTCAACTCATATACGGTATACTTTATAGATAAATTTGTTCTATTTCCCATTCATCTATTATCTAACACATGTATTACCGCAACAGGTAATATGGAAAACGTGCCAATTAAGAGACTTTCAACCTACTTCATAATTCTTATACTAAGACCATTTTCATAGTTAAATATTTCATATCAACTAATATCTATCGAGTTCAAACTAAACATACTTATAAGCAATTTCATCAACTAATGAGCGCGCACCCAGCCCAAATATATCACAGCCAAATCGGCCGCCGCATGCTTCTACCGGATGAAGACCCTAAGATAAAATGATGACATCTCAAGGAACGATTGTAGCCAGTTATACAATCTCCTCGACTGTCTCTAGTCTCATAATGGTCGCAATTGCTCGCGGCAAAGGTAGAATACGAAATTCTAAAGAAAATGAGCCTTCAAAGTATTGCCTAGGACTTTGCCTAATCTGTTTAGGCTACATTTTAGAAATGAATTATGTCTAAGACATATTTTCTAATTATAATATAAATGATTTAACTACAGGCTCAAGCGACAGATAGCGCTATGAAGATTTATCAACATGGCGATTTTACAATCAATAACAGATACCTATATAAATGTTAGGGATCGCTTGATAAGGATCTAAAAGATATTGCAAGTGCACTGTAAATAGGAAATGGTGACACTATCGTGTCTGTATTTTTATTTTGTTAAATAGTGACCATCGCTATAGCATTACGTCACTGTACTGCCAGACTCATAACATTATCAGTCTTTGAGCGAGAACGTCCCGTTTAAGACAATTTTTCAGATAAAACTTCCCGCTTCATGAAAGTTCAATGTGGCACCTAAAATTGATATAACAGGTCGCTACACGCTTTGATAAAGGGTCCCAAACTAGGTTGATCACGACAAGCGAATTAATTTACACTGTTCTTATGATATAGTAACGATTTTGTATGTAAGAGGCAACTTCATAACAGTTGTTAATAAGCGACTAAGTATGAGCGAGTGACTTAATGAGCCTTAACTTAGAAATGAAGGTATACTATAGAGCATCTCATTTTATGCATTACAACACCTTATTGTTAAAAATACAGCGTTGGTCTTTTGGAAGTAGACGCGTTTCGATGACTACACGGTCGCGTAATCAAATTTTTTTACAGACTAGAGCTACACCCCCTTAGACGATACGAAGACGAACACACGGACACTCTTTTCTTTGTTACACGTGTTCATAAGGAATAGGCCAACACCAGGCCTTATTATTAAATCGTAACTCGAACGTCGTCAGTTGTGATTTCACGTCATTGTCACGCATTGATGAAAGACGTTTCGTAAAAATTTATAATGTCGTAACTAACTTTATACAAGATACGCATTAATAACGAACAACTATTTGTGTGTCATTCAAATACACGCACAATTTTGAGTGCGAGAATTGAAAACGCAACACGCGACAAGCTTTTTTTAATACAAGGTCTTGACTTTACTGTCAGAAAGGTTTTAATATCCAAGTCAGGCATGAATTCAAATAATCTTCGTTTGACTATGAGAGTAGGCACAAAATATCATCCTACCATTTAATTCTCAAAAAGTTTGTCTAGCTTTTTCTAATAACAAAAATGCTAGCCGTTTCATAAAACAATTATAATGCATCACCCATAAAATTCGTCACTCGCTCCGATTTAACGACAATTATTACTATTAGGCAATGTTTGCAATAATTGACTTACATGTATTGATAACTATGAAAGACTGACCACAACACGAGGCCACAGGAATTGTGCACTTACAGCATAATGTGTTAGGTATAGTTTTCAATGAGATACCATTCGGCAACAATACATAAAACAATCATACCCTCAAATCTATACAAAAGTTAAGTTTAGATATAGTTATAACGAATTTTCATTCATTGATTACTGTCTGTGCATTGGAAGTAAGCATCTTGTTTTCTAAAGGTAAGTGTTGAGCGGATGATATACCTTTTGTATGTTCGAAGGTGTACTTACACAATTCTTGTGGCTCAGTATTTGTCATCAAAGCTATTGTACTAACCACAAACGACTAGATAATTAATACAATTTTGATTGTTGACTACAATCAAAATTGTAGCAATCGATGAAAAATGTGATCTCAGATTCCAGATATTAATTATTTTTCGATTAGTTAATGTCTTAGTTTATATCGTGTTGCGCAATCGATTTGAAAGCTTGGCGACTTACATTTTTAATGGACCTTAATGGGACAGTATTTCTCACGTTTAGATAAACAATTTTAATTATATTACCGTTCGATTGCTCAATATTACCGCTAGTTTATTTTGACATATAATATAGATGGGAAAGGGTTTTTAAGTAATCATTTTGCCAAATAATTTGGATAATATTTTTATACTCTACCAGATAATGCAATCGCATTTTTTATTTATAATTTGAGCTGTAACTGTCGTTTAGCCTCCGTTTTAATAAAATCTTCACTCTGTTCCTTCTTCTCGATTGACTTTATTTACCTTGCTGAGGAGATATTAAGTACTGAGACTATATTACGAACCTCTGGCCTAACCGTCAGGATTCCTAACCGTTAGACCAACAATCCCGTCCACACAAAGCAACAAACTTATACATATTTTATGATAATTACTTTCAAACGATTTAAAATTTAAACATCATACTGATCCACATTATCTGTAAGGTATAAATACTGTCGCGTGTGGTGTATACATGGGGTATACATAAAAAGAAAACGACCAGTATAATGTACAATAAATTGTAGCGGTAATATCGACGCTAGCAGGAACCGTTGTTGGCCGGTAATACGTGACGCGCTTACAAGGTCTGTGGGGTGTGCTTAGACGGCTGTCGCTTGAGCCGCCTGCCCACCGGTCACTGTCAGTTATTCTTGTCGAAGTTGTGTATCGCCCAGTTGAAGGATGTCGTCCACGAATTCTTCATGGCCTCGTTGAACTTCTGACGGAAATGTTCCATTGCTTTTTCTTCAGATAAATCCATTACCTAAGACAATTATAGCAGTTACATATCTGTGATGACATAATAGCTATTCAAGCTTAAAGATATACCTACTTATGGCAGGAAGCGTTATCAGGGCCATTGATTTTTTCTTGGTGTAAGGAGGCAAACTACTAGCCGCCGGACACCTACCACTCGAGTCCTTGTGACTCTGTGGAGGGTTCTAGCCCCAGAAATAGGAAGGGTGGGTTTTGGGCTCCGGTAACATCATTCACTTGGTCAAAAGCCACGAAAGAATTGCTAAACATCAGTTTGCCGCAAGACCGTGACATTACTACGGTCGAGCTGGTCTATTTGTGTCGAAGCATGGCATGATAATATAGCCAAGTCTATCGTCATGAAGGCTAAACCGCTGTTTTAAAAAATATGTTTTTTTTGTGTGTTTAGTACAATACTTCAGAGTATAAAATACAGAATTATTATCCAATTTTCCTTTATCATTCTTTCTGTTCATAACTGTGCTAAAAAACACGTTTAAACAATAATTACATAAGATTAGAAATGTTAGTAACATAAGCTCTTATTCTCAATTTTTTTTATTAAACGCTTATCTGCTGTCTTTGTAAATAACATTAATTTAATATAAATACTTACTAGAGTTTCGCGCAAATACTGCAGGTCTTTTTCTGAACTAAGTTCAGGTAGACCGGTTGAGATCATCATGGAGAACAACGATAGGATCAGATGCCCATGCTTACGAAGAATTTTGAAAGCCTGTCAAAGTACAAAGATTTTAGTGGTGTGTACATTGTAGACCTGAAAGTGGTGGAATATGCAGACACAGGTACAATATACAATATGTTCAAATGACTATTGATTTAAATACTAACTATTTAAAAAGAGCTTAATTTTGTTTTATTTTTTATGTTTTGAAGATAAGTATGCATTTTTGACCCTTTTTTTTCCGTGCGGAAGTCCCCTCGGATACCACCTCGGATACAGGTGGCATGTCGGACTCGAACCGACTAAAACCGCACGCCGTCTCGGGTACTAATGGCCGGGGAACCAGGTATACCCTAGAAAGGAAGTCCCTGGTGACCCGACATACCTCAGGCCATGTGGGAACCCCATGTACCCTCTGCTCCCTGGAAGCGAGCGCGCTTCGCAACACGCTCGCCGCCACCCCGGCCTGCTTCTGCTAGGGTGACAGATGGCCTCACCTGTCACCCCCAGGCCTGCGCTTATGGAGGACGGAGGTCGTTCTGCGACCTCCGGCGCCTGAGTCGCCTGCTGTACCTGGCCCGTTCCCGGGCCTGGCGGGCCGGAAGAGTCCTAAACCTCTCCCGGTCCCGCTCCGCCGTCTCCTTCGCGAGCATAACTTGGTCGCAGAAGGAGACGGCAGAGTTCCACGCACTCTCGCTCCGCACGATAGCCGCAATCAGGCTATCGAGCGAGAGAACTCCCACTCCGATGGCCGCCACGAGGTCTCGCCTCTGCTCAACCCACGCCGGGCACTCTGCCAGCGTGTGGAGAGCCGTGTCCTCGGTCTGGCCATCGCAGTGGTGGCACTCAGGCGTTGGCTTCTTGCGGATCAGACACAGGTGATCCCCGAAACATCCTTTCCCTGTGATCACCTGCGTCAGTCGGTATGAGAGGGTCCCGTGACGCCTCTCGAGCCAATCCTCCATAACGGGTCTTACTCGGGACCCTAGAATTTACCACTATATACAAAATTAATTTATATTTATTTTGAACTTCCTAATTAATATAACACACAGCTTCTCATTTAGATTTATTTAAATAAAAACATAATAAATTTGTCACAATTATAATATTCTATAATAATAATAACAACTTCACACATCTCACACACGGCCGTCTGATCCCAAACTAGGCAGAGCCTGTACTATTCTCATAATTATGGCAGTTTATTATTAACATTAATTAATTTTATCTATATGTTAAGTTAGGTATAATCTACGTACCGTTTCACAATGCTCCCTGAATATCTTGAAGTCAATGGGCAAGTTGTCGCCGGAGCCTTTCTGTCCCTTGTTGATGACATGAATAAAATCATGAGTTAGAACGAACGGTACTCGCTCTCGTTTGAATCCATACTTCTGTTTGAAATGGCCCAGGAAGTGACCGAAGTCAATGTGAAATAGCTATTGACAATAACAAAAAGATTATATTAATTCTAATTGTAGAATTTTAAGTATAGAAGTATTAAGTACAAAACCAGTTAACTTGTACCAAGCCGAAGTATAAACAGAATATAAAAATAATGTTCTTGTATATTATGTATGTGTGAATGTGTATTAAATGTGAATGTCAGTTTGTTTGTTTATTTGTTAACCACTAAACCGATTTAAAAAAAATCCTTTACCAACTTACTACAATAATCGACATACAGCGGGCAGATCCGCTAGCAAGAGCTAGTATAAAATATTAATTTTATACTTGTATAGTTCTTAAATTATTGTTCTAGTGTATTCATTTACGAGATTATTTTTATTCCATGGCTAATGGCGCCATGAATAAAATTGTTGCCTCATTACTATACCGCTAAGCGTATCGGAAGATCGAGTCCAACAAAAAGACCCGTTAAAGAATCTTTGATGGTGTAAGAATAGTTTACATATATATGAGTTCAAATGAGGCTGGTTTAAATCCCCGTACCTGTCCACTCCTCTTGACCATGATGTTGTCTGGGTGTCGGTCGGCGATGCCGAGCACGTAGGTGGCCACGCAGTAGCCGGCGCAGCTCATCGTGAACTCGTCCACGGCCTTGTTAAACGCCGCCTCATTGTTCTCCGTGTTTTTGCGTATCCATTCTACGAGTATTTTTTATTATTATTTAAATTGTTGTAAACATTAAGTGACAAATACATATTCCTGCTGTCAAAGGCTTGCACTCAGTGGGCATCGAACCCTCTTAACTGATAAGAGCATATAAAAGCAGATCAGAAAACGGAAGATAGAATGCCCCCAGCCGGATGACTGACAACTTTAAGAAGGTATATAATACTCACGTAATAACGTAGACCTATTCATAGTGGAGGCGGCGTTGAACAGAGCACTCTGCTTCTGAATGTTAGCGACTGTCTCAGAGTCCTCTACCACCTCGATCATACCCATCATGTAGTCCATGGATATACAGTTGTATGGGTTCAGTCTAAGAACAAAGATTGTATAAGTCAATAACTTAACAAACAGCATCACCGACTTAAACTCGTCTAAATTATTATAAATTGTAATACACTAAATTTTTTTTTTTGTTATACACTCACTTTTTGTTATACACTCATTCTTCTTTTTGTTATACACTCACTTCTTTTATTTCCGAAGGGATAGACAGAAGCGAATTATAGTACTGCTGTTTGCCAACTATAACTTTTTGTGTTGAAGTGGATTCGAGAATGGTTTAGATTCACAATTCGGTCCACTACAAAATGTTTTTAATGATTTTATTATTTGTACATGTGAACAGGAAAACGCCAGTCGGGTCAAACCCGAGGCCTCATGCACTGCAGTCGCGTAACGTACTAAACCACTAAGGCAGCGCTTTGCAAATTGCACGCAAACGAAGTCGCAGGTATCAGTTAGTGTTAAATAAACTAGTACTAGACCCCCAGAACAAAATATGATCATGCTAATGAAACAATATTTGTCCTAAATGGGATTCCAATCCACGACCTCTGGCTTAGCAGCCACGATTGCTAACCACTAGACCAACAGGTCAGTATATTGTTTTGTATATCGTTCGTCGTTATCGTAACGTCACTAAAAAAAAAGTTTATCACAGTTCATGAGTGGATTTTCAAAAACTAAAAACCACTACTAAATATATATATAAAGATTATACCTAAAATCATAACCGTGATTCTTCCACAGCCGATCCATGATGCGCAGCATTTGTAGTGTAAACATATCCTGTCTTAGATCATCACCGATCTTTAATATGATGCGAATGTCTGACCCCATGGAGTCTACATTCTCAAATTCTAACAAAAGAGGTCGCATTTTACTGTCCATAACTCGACACGACCTGGGCCTGTATAAATAGAAAAAAATAAGTCATAAATAAATTTAAAAATAATTAAATCATCACGTTACTTACAATAACCAGTTTAAGTTTTCTGAACAATACTCACTTTATACTTTTACACACAAATGTAGGGTTTAGCGGCGACACGAAATCGTGGAGCGTTTCCTCGCAGTGCTTCTCCTGCAAGTGCTCTATGAGCAACGCACGAGCTTGGCGGATTTCTTTCTTCTGTTTCACGCGTTCACTCGCCCCTGTATTTTAAAGATAAATTAGTTTGACGTACGATTGAAAAACAACACACCACAACTATTGCGGTGTTTGTCTGTTTCTCTTATCTAGAAGGATGAATGTATTAAAATGTACGTACATTTGAGCTTGTCGAGACAGGAGATCTGTTTGGTGAAACTATTGATATGATCCTGGCAGCCGCGACAGTATGCTTCCAGTAGCAAGCCGAAGCGGACCGACACTGATGGCACGTGCATTTCAGATCTGGGTGATAAATTAGATAGGTGAGCGAGAACGTACATAGATAACATTTTCTATAAATAAAAACGTAATTTCACATGGATTTTGAGAAAGTTAGAACAACCGCGTTGTAGATGATGGATCATCCACAAACTGGCTGAAGTTGAAGAAAGAGTCTTCTGTCAATATGAATATAAATAATTTTGGTTCAATGGGCTCTATTAATTTGACCAGTGTGGGTTCAATCGCACAATACGGTTCGACGTCACAGAACATACAATATGTTATGATTCTCAGTGTATTTTGTATACCTTAATCAGTGGATAAGGATTGCTACCTCATCCTCAGAATATAAGAATGCAATCCGTGTTATTACCAGTGTTGTCTCACATTCATCGTCAAAGCACATCAACAGCCTTTAATAGTCTACTGCTGAACATAGGCTTCTCCTTAGAAAGGAGGTTTTGGCCTACTATACCACACTGGCCAGACGGGTTGATATAGGGTTTGTGTCAAGTTTTCCTTCTCTTTGCAATGCTGCTGTCTTGTGTAGTTTGCTCCTATAGTCGGCTCCTACGACATACGCATACGCACTGCGGATAAATAAGGATCGTGACAACCCGTATTTTTAATCCATTATCAACACAGATGGATGTCACACACACAGTAAAAAGTAAAACGGTAAAGTACACTCGGTTTAAAGTAATGAGAAAAAACAATCACTTACCTTAAATGCCAAAAGAGGTAGTGTCCAATAGTCATGTTTTTGAATGCTCTCTTCAGGAGAAATATAGAGAGATCGCACATCAAATATGACTCGTGTTTTAAAGCTTGTACCAACTGAAGTAGGTAGAGGAGGAGATCATTATCGCTGAAAATAATTAAAAAATTATTACTAAAAATACAATTATTAATAAAGTAATTTTTGCTCTTCGATAATTTTTTGAAAATTTTAAGATTTAAGAAAATGTTAGACTTGACTTGTCATCGATAGAACTAGAATACTTAGCAACAAATCTCTGCACCGGTAAAGAAAGTACAAATGTCATATATTTCCTTGAGTGCATACTATAAATTTAGTTTATGATGATGGTATTAATATTAACTTAATGTTAAAAAAAAAAAACAAATTTCTAAAAGTTGAACTTCAACTTTTTCGTTTTATTTTTATTGTGTATGTCACTAAGTATTTTTATGGGCAATGGTTTTTCTGAAGGTACTTTTTTGCCTAATTAGAATGAACATTGATCAACCATAAGGATAATAACTCTTTTGAAATTTGCCCAAATTCAATCATTTTACAGTCACAATGTAAAATTAAAATGTTTCTTAATGCCATTTAATACAATATTTGGTAATGCGTAACGGCAAGCATGAAAAATTATCACTCAAAAGTATTCCCTCACTGCTTTGAACGATGCATAATATACCAGTAAATAGAGTAGAAGGTCGGTACCTAATCTTGCTGAGACACTTGACGGCGAAGCTGCGCACGGCGCAGTCGGCGTAGGCGTAGTCGAGCAGCTCGAGCGCGGACTCGACGCGCAGCAGCGGCCAGTCCGCCAGGATGCGGCGCACGCTGGCCGCCTCGCCGCGCTCGCCCCACTCCACGCACGACAGCAGCTTGGGCAGCAGCTCCGGCGCCTCCGTGCGGAACCGCTCCCTGCACCAACATTACATGGCTTTTACTACTACTGTTTTTAAAAGGCATATCAAATCACCTGTGTCTGTTCTGTAAACGGACACGATTACACAACCGGACTCAGTTCAACGATTTGTCGATCACACGACTGTTGTCCTATGTGAGGATCGAACCCACTCGAACACTCGAAGCGGCGTAGCGACCGCTTAAACCACTACGCCATCTGTGCATCAATCTATTTATAGCAAGCTTTAACAAAAGTATTTACTTTCTTATTGTATGAAATCAGGATACTGTACCTGGAGGCCCAAATGGCTTTCTTTTCCTGTTCGTGCATTTCATACATCGGGTCCTTTCCGGCCGTGGCCCGTAACTGCTCGTAATCTCTACCCAGTCTTTCCGTGAAATCGGGGGAAACACTCTCTATATGCTCGGAGTATGCGTTTATAGTTTCTTCTTTAGGAAACAGCACTGGGATTTGACAGTCGTAACTAAAAAAATAAAATTAATTATATTTGCCAATCTCTGGGTGATATTATTTTTATCACAAGTTTATTTCAGTCTAATGTAGTTCAACTTTATTAGTAGATAAGTACATATTATAATAATAAACAAAACAGGGTCGATATGGTATAAAATCTTTGATATTTTATTAAAAAGTCGATTGTATTGAATCAAAATGTCGGCAGCAATTGACGGAAGATAATATTATCTTTATTAATATCTGTTAACATATTCATAACACGCTTACTTGGAAAATTTAACCTGTAAAGCCGCACACGAGTCCGTGTTGGGGTTTGAGACGATGGTACCCAAGGGATGGAGCACCAGGTCGTCACCCTGCGTGTCGTCCGCGACGTGAGTCCACATGGACAACATCACACCGTCAGTTCGTAACTGCTCTTTGTAGTCAAATATCATTGTGTTTGCCCACGTCAAGCGGTTTATACCATCCTGTAAAACGACGTTAAATACTGTCATATATTACAAGTGATTTCGTACCATCCTACTGCAGACTGTACGGGAAAGCGTAACGTAAACCGGCGTAGTGGATTAAAATTTATTTTTCCGAGTTAAAAACGTTGACATTTACGGCTGCAAAGTTCCACATTCATTTCAAAATTATTATTTTTATTGGTATTTTAATATGGTACCAAGTCAAACAAAAGGTTCTTTTAATTTAATAATAAATAACACTGCGGCAAAACTGCAGTGTTCAATCAAACGATATTCTAATATTTCATGAAATCAGATGTTGCAAAGCGTGGAGTATAAAGGGCTCGGAGCTTGTTCGGCGTCTGTGCACGCACGCTTTAAACATTGCGTAGAGTGTTATATTTTTTTTTTTTTGTATATTCTTTAAAAGCAAGCCATACCTTATTAGCGTCTTTCCCTCTTCTCTTTCCCTTGCTTTTAGTTATCTCGTACACACCAAAACACACTCTACTCATTCTTGGCAAATTGTACACTTTGATTGGGAATGTGAGCTCTTGGTCCCATTGAGCAACTCCATCACTCGAGACGACTACTGCCCTGGTCTTCTGTGTCTCGCAGAGCGCTTTGCCACCGTGAAAAATACCAGCTTGGCAAACAACCTGTTTGAATATTACAAAAACCGTTACAAGCCGTCTGTAAACTGTCAAAAACCCAACGAATATATCTATGGACGTACAGAAGAGATCAAACCAGATTCAGACAAGAATTGTTAATTATTTTGAATGATATAATTAACCGAGTTATTGGTTAAAGAAGTCACATTCAACACACATTCAATCTGAACATGACTTATAAAGAAAATATTACGTGATTTTAATTTGTAAGAATTGTTCATGGCAGTCTATAGATTCACGATACATGGAAAACTTTCACCGTCACAAGAAACGTGCAATCAAAATTTATATAAATGAAAACATAACAACAACAAAGCTTTATAATTATTATCTAGTATTAGCAAAACTCCGACTGTATATACCACTTTTTTTACCACTATTTATTTGACAAATAAATCTCACATTTCATGTAAAATATTCTAACAAAGAAAAAAGGGCAACAGTAAAGTACGGGATTGAATCAAGTCCAAAGATAATTTCGACGAGTTGTTTAATTTTGCTCACTGACCAGTACAGAAATCCATTGGTTAACCGTAGTGGAATGACTAACGATTCAGTTCCAAATTCAATGGATCTAATCTATTGAAAAGAAGAATCAGAAATTAAGCTACTACTATCAGTGTCTCTGAGTGTAATCCATCTATAATATGTATGCATTTACAAACATATAATTGTATTTAGGGGTCTTATAATTTTCTCTTCTTTATATACAATATTTCATAAATATTTTTTCGTAAAACCTAAACGTTTAGGACTTAAGATGCAAGCAAAGAAATCAAAACTAACTTAGCAATAGAAGAATAGATTTTGAGTATTTTGTATTCCTTGTTTTAGTTTTTGAATTTATTTACGATTTTACTTAACTTATCCTTTAAATTTTCAACAAAATCCTAGAAGTGAGCCTCCTAAAAGGTGTCTTTATATTAAGAACTACTCAGACTTGACCAGATAATAACGGGTACCAAACTGACCTCAACACTAAGCCGACTGGCATCCACGTTGAGATTACTGACGCTCTGTACAATACAGGAGTAATCCTTATTTATATTCCACGAAGATTCATTTTTCTTCTTTCTCATAGTATTAGAGTGATCTGAAGTCAGCCGTCGACGTTCTGGCAAGCAGTATGGGTAAGGCCGTTCGCGTTTTGCTGTTGAATATATTAAATATATTATTATATGTATATGTATTATATGTATTTATATACACATGTCTACATTCATATGATCAAGTCCAAACTAATAAATTTAGATACATAATATTTATTTGCAAATTATTAAATCAAAAATAATCTGAAAGAAGAATAGGAAACTAAGACATGAAGTATAAAATTTTTATTAAATATTTAAAAAACCCCCGATATACATTTTGGATTTGAAATTTGTCACCCCATCGTTTTTGCGTCGGGGGTTAAAAATCAGTTCAGACATCCGTACAATGTTTTATTTTTACTTCAAAAGTAAACTCAACTGACGACAAATAAGACTTAATATGAAAGAGTAACATTAGCTATGCAAGCGATTAATTTATAAAGTACTATCTGCGCGATTTATCAAATGTATTTCAATTCCTTGCTCATCGCACACTACATTTTTTTGGGTTAAAAAGTAGCCTATGTGTTAATCCGTCCGTAAATCCTCACAAACTTTCGCCTACATAATATTAGTATGATTTCACAAACACAAACTCACGAGTAAGCATCAACTGGCTCATTTCCATAGGCATGACTTGTGGCACTCCATCAGTGGATAACATCTCCTGGATGTAGAGGAACTGGATGAGAGGGTAATCGCCAAACAGATACTCTTCTCTTCCGCAAACCTTGAGGACATAATTGTTTGGTTTTTCCACTCGCATGTTGAGGGTTTTAGCAAACTTGTGCAGGATGACGTCAATGTGCTGTTGTGGTGTCCGAGATGCAGGCACGCTTGAGGAGAAGGAGAACTGGGGATGGAAAAAATATATTTAAATTAAAAAGTAGCTTATAAACAATTACAGTAGCAGTCTGGAACCTTGAATATAAATATTATTTACATTGTTTTTACTTAAGGAACTGCGTATATAATAACGTAATGTATTCAGGCAAATTTAATGCATAATAAGAATAGTCATAAAATATTATTGTCTATTAATTATAACACGCAAACTGAATATTAATAAAATATCTACAAACAAACCACGCAATAATTACTATACATAAAAATAAATTACATTAAGTGAAATTTAACAAAAATTAAAATAAAAAAATACAAAACAAATACCAGTATTGAACAATAATAGTATTTGATTTGTTAAATTTAATTTAAAGTTTTTAAGTGAGTGATGTAAATGAAGGGCTGATAATAATCTCTCAAACTAATAAATTTGTTGTTGAATGTCTTTCTCTATGACACACATTCACACCATCCAACTATCATGAATTGATTGCAATAAAAATCATACTAAAATATTGTCAGATGAGGTGCCAAAGAAATGACAAAATGGTAAAAACCAGTTTTTCGCTTCTGGCGCGAAAATTAGGAGCCTACGAAAAAAAGTTGAATGTAACAAATGTGGCAAAACAAAACAAAGAGAATGAACCTCCGGGGAGCAAAACCGAACCATCAGATCGCCCGAAACTTGCAAAAATCACGTTTTTTTTTTTGCAAATCTTGGCAAATTGATATGCGGGTATGTTGTCAGTATTGTAGTACTATTACAACAATTAAATTTTCAGGTCAAAATGTTGGAAAATTTTTGCAAACCGTCGACTTTTGCAAAAAGCGACCTTGTTTTGAAGCAATTGAGAGGGGTTTTAATTTTTAAAAACGTTATAATTTCTATCTAAATTTTCAGATCATTTGATAAATATACATTTGTTTAAATAGTCAATAAACAAGAATACTGCTTTTGTTATTAATAATCATGGTCAGTTATTTATTTAACTAAAATAATAAAAGTTAAGGCAGTTTAAAAAAAGTGTTTTTTTTTTTCAACAGATATTTGGAACGCCAGGTGTGACCTTCGTGAGGCGACGTGTGAGCGAAGAATACTATCCAGATTGCGTCGTACCGACAGTAAAGCATGGAGGAGGCAGCATAATGATCTGGGGCTGCATGGCTAGTGATGGGTTTGGCGAAATGTTTGTTTGCGAAGGTCGTATGAACAGCGAAAAGTACATAAAAGTGCTTAAAACTGCGCTTATGCCTTCGCTAACGAGTATTTTCGGCGATACCAACTTAGAGGGAGTTATATTCCAGCAAGACAATGCACCTTGTCATAAGTCAGCGACTACGATGCGTTGGTTTACCGAAAACAACATTGACTTGTTTGATTGGCCAGCGCAGTCACCAGATTTGAACCCAATTGAACATCTTTGGAGCATTTTGAAGCGCAAGATTAAAGAGCATGCCATTACAAGGGAGGATTGTACTAAGCTTGTACGCAACATGCCAGCTAGAATTAGTGCAGTAATTAAATCCAAAGGTGGACCGACTAGATTTTTAGTTTTTTTCATTCTTTTTTGTGTAATTTAATGGTAACAAATCAATTCAAAAAATATAAGTTGTTTTTTTCCTTTATTTTAAGTAGTAAAATGTAGGGTGCCTAATACTTTTGGCCAAGGCTGAATATTACAATACTATCTCAAACTTACAAGTGTTAGGTAGTAGTTGCCGATTCTATGGTTTTCCTGTGTGAATTGAATGCTACATATATACAAAGAGCCTATTATACAAAGAGAATAGGGCTAATTAGGGAATTTACTACTATTTTCTTGTAATAAATACAGCATTCAACAGGTTTGTCGCAAATTAAAAAGTTGTTTGTTCGTAATGGACAAACTCAAATACCGCTTAAACGAATTTTTAAGTGTTTTCACTCATAGAAATTAGTCATTCCCATTATTAGACAGTCGCATAGGCTTTTTTTACATAAAAATAAATTGAGATCATCGCTACAACAATTGCCATATTGTAACCTAAGGTATCAAAAATTTGTCTTTAAAAGTAGTTTTTGGCTCGCTGTGATAAGTAATGATAATGAAGCAAAAAGTTTACTATATGTTTATAGATCTCCTAATAAGGAACCCACAACAAAACATACGAATATAATATCTTGTATCTTGTATCTACTAAATATTTTCATAATATAATCAATCTGGATCATATACATGTAACTTTTTTTTAAAAATTCATTTCAATTTAATTCAATTCTGTTTAGAAGTTACGTCGGACATAAAAACGATGTAAAAATGGCACAATGTGTCATTTCTAGTCTAACCTACATGTATTATTTTTTCTAAACCAGAAACGGTCGAATAGCAGTTTGTAAATATTTATAACTAAAACACTCCATAAATAACTTTTAATAAAAGATCACCGGATTTCAATGGCCATAAATCATAATAAGCTGTTTTCTTGTATATACCTTAAGTCATTTATTTCATAAATTTCCTGAATGTGTTGAAACATACATAGCTATAAAAAAATATTGTAAATGTGATTATGTGTATAATTTGGGTGTATTATACAAAAATTATACACATTACCACATCTAAACAAAATCATAAAAAATGTACATAAATAGATACATCTGTCAGTGATAAAATATGCTATTTCATTACTGACACAAAAATATATAAAAACAATACAAAAACATTAATAAATTAAATTACAAGTCAAATCTGTCACTTATATATGCTAATTTAAGAATTAATTTATACTAAAACAACACTTTTCGGTAGGTAGTTAAGTAGTTTTTTTAGTTCGGTTGTGAAAATGCATATTTAAAATCTATGGCAAGCTTAATTGTATTTTCAACATCTAGCACCCTTTAACTATGTTCCCCCACTATTACATTTAGGCTGTACTGTGATATTTACACCTTAGCTCAGAGTGATCATTTTGATACTGAATTTAGTGTCTTTCGCATTCCATGATACATTATTCTGTACGTACGATGTAAACACGATGTTTACGGGAATTGGATGGCTACCTCACGAAACCAGAAGGAACCCATAAATGTAGAAACAGAATACTAAACCTAAGGCACAATGCCTTCAGTTTTCAACACCGTGGAGAGCTGCCCTAACTTCTGTCACATATCTTGGTGTAAACTCTAGAGAAATACAAAATGAATGCTTCATTATCGTTTGCATGATTTCTTAAACAATCAATAGCTTCAAGCAATGCACATTCAGGCATCAAATTTCTTATAACCAAGAAAATATCAACTGAACAGCTCACTCGAGTACTGTCAACATTGCACAGACTATATAAAACACATTGGAAAGGTAAAGATAGCAAGGTAGCGCAATCAGTATGGTGTATGAGGAATATCATAGATAATAGACAAGAAACCCATGACTCACATCCAGTATTTCTAACTAATAATGTTATGAGGTATTTCCCATGGATTGTTCCATTGTTTAGTTCTAGACTAGTTATTTTGGGTCACAACAACAAAATTCTAAACAGCTACACTGATTATACAGTTTGTTTGTTTGAACGCAATAATCTCAGGAACTACTAGTTCAAATTGAAACCTTTCCGATACCTTTTCATAAGATAGGTTAGTAGGTAGGTAGTAGGTAAGTAGTAGGTAAGTCTACTACGATAACGTTGAACATTCATTTTTTACGCAGAGCGACTGCTATCAAACCGCCACAAGATTATCATCGAATGTTTTAAATAAAACTTACCTCTATATTATCAAACTTAGTAAGAAGTATAAAACAGTGGTTATTCAGGTGGCTTTTCAGTGTGGTTGGTGTCTCGTTATGGTCTGCAAGTCTCGGTGGGCATTGGTATCGCAGTCTCTCCAACCAGGTGCTTTGCGCTCGCCTAATAAGGCTTTCTTCAGCTAAGTACCGCATCCGCATTCGAAAATCGTTCACCTCGGAACTTCGGATGTTGTCGAATTCATTTAGACCTGATGAAGATAAAAGTTATTTTTATTATTAATAATGATTAATGTATTATTTTATTACATATATATAATTTATTTTGGTTATTAACCGTGAGTATGAATAAACGCGTTCAGGAAAAACATAAAATATTACTTTGTCTCTGGCTATTGAAAGAAGTTGCCATTGTTTTGTCAGATATTATTCATTTTTCAATTATGCATTGCCTATCCTATGATTTGGTGGCAATGCAATTATACCTTATTACCTCCAAAGTAAAAAAAAATTGCCAGCACATCAAACACTATTCCAGGTCCAGGAATAGGTGAGTAAATTGTAATGGACCTTTTGTCATTATTCAAAAATACTACTTTTACTAAAAATACGTTTTTTTGTGTTTATATGGTATAAACTTCGAATAAAGTAAGATGGGCAGTCGTAGCTAATAAACCATTTTATGAGCCATTAAGCATTAGAAAAGGTTGGCAGAAAATAACAGTTTTAAATTAGATAATACTGTATTTTTCTAACACAAATCTATCACAAACAAAATGCGTGACGTCAGCCCATTGCAATCTATTGAACCATGATAGGCAATAGATAAAACTTCACTTTACATCTATGCTATATAAGGACGGAAACTACACATTTAAATATATTATTGTATCATGATGTAAGGTCAACAGCCTCAATTTACATAAACTTAATGGCCCATTTTTCATAAACAATGCTAATTATTGAAGAAATGAAGGTGCAACAACAGTTATTCAACAGAAGCTGCTACTTCTTGAAAATTATAAAAAAAAAAACACAGCAAGTCACAAGAGAACAAGTTTTGCAAGAAAAGAATAAGAACAGATATTTCTTCTTTAATAAGATGAGGAAACCCGTGGCAAGGAGTTAAGTAATTCGGAAAAAACATTATACATATAGTGGGTTATAGTAGGTTCACACACACCTTGGTGTGATGATGTTTGAGCTTAGTAGGTCACCTGTCCTGGCACTACACTACCAACCACAAACCTCCTACCATCAGAAAGCATCTGTGAACCACTACAATTAGGCCACATCAGCATATACATAACAAATAAACCACTTTTATCTATTTAGTCAGTTTTATTTCTCATCAATGTAACCACAATGCGCCTCAGGAAAGCGTGGAAGGTTACAGCTAGTACATGATAATGCTGTCTTTCTGGTAGGCATATAATAGAACTGTTATACACAAAATGAAACAGTTATTATATGCCGGAAGAAAGACAGCGTTGGATCAAGATCCTTGCTGGTGAGTCAAGACACTATGGCGAACTGTCATCAGGCGCACAGATAAGAAATGCTGTCTTTACGGTAGGCATATAATAGAACTGTTATACACAAAATGAAACAGTTATTATATGCGAGAAGAAAGACAGCGTTGGAGCAAGGTCCTTGCTGGTGAGTCAAGACACTATGGAGAACTGTCATCAGGCGCACAGATAAGAAATGAATATAAATACTGACTTTTTTACTTTTAATATCAACCATACACCTCTTTGTTGAAAATGTTACTTCTTCGCAACAAAGAGACATAATTCATGTGCTTAACATCTTTTAGATAACAGTCAACCAAATATAATAAGAGGAATAGTTTGTTTACAATATGGGGAAATACATAAACAATTGTGATTACTTAGGCATGCGATTACATTCTGATTGATTGAGTTTATTAGTTATACATTTGTATTAAATTACTCACGTTTTCCAATTAAATGGCTAATGTGTGTGTTCAACAACTGTTCTCCGGGCCTTTCAAAAGATCTTTTCACAATGATAAATACACCACATACAGGTTTAATATCACGGATTCGCTTGGATTCATCTTCAATCTCTTCGGCTACAGCAAGTGAATTGACAAATTGGAATACATAACTTGACATCTCATGCAACATCCCAAACAAGGGATAGTTGACGGCCCTCTCCCACAAATCCTGTGAAAGAAAACATATTTTGTTGATTATATGAATGAATTTAAAAATTGATTAAAATAAGCACAGCAGTTAGTATTGTTGTGATACTTAATAGATAGCTTGATCACTTAAAAAAATTTACTTGATACATTATAATCTGATGTTAAGATACTGCTTGAAATTGACAAACATTTTACAAAATACAAGCCTGTATAATGTGTATCTAAGTTTAATTGAACATCTAGCCCCATTCCCACCATTCTAAAAGTTGTAGCTTTGATTCCCAATTAAGACATTTATTTTCTCATAAATAATCATCTTGCTAAAGTTTATATTTTTTAGTAAATAAATTGTTTCTTTAGATTTATTTTAATAAAAATCATTTTAATTAAAAAAAGAATCAATTTTATTGAGATTTGTATTCTTTAACACAAGAACATACAAACAGTTAACTATTTGCTATTGATAACTCTCAATAAACAGTAATATTCCTGTATTGTCCAGTTCAAAAGCAACAACCAGCCTAAATTTATTGAACTGCAGTTCAAGAAAGCTCTAAAAACTACAGCATGAAGAAATGTTCATGATAATGTTTACAATGTAAACAACTTTCTAAATGTACCTAACAAATCTATCTCTGTAAACATGTTACTCAATATTTTGACCCACTTTCCTAAAATGCAATCAAAACAATGTCGGCAAATGACTCACGAACAGGGTGAAGAAGTACGTACACCTGGTAGACACTTACCACTTTGACATCCTGGATAGTGGCATCCCAATTTATTCTCACAGGAATGTAAACTGAGTTTGGTAACAAACATGTGAGTTCTACGAGGTCCGACGGCGACGTCGTCCAGTAGTCGTATGTAAACGGACAACTAGGCGCAGGAACCATTGTTTAGTATTATTTTCCCAGGTTACTCAAATTACCCCCGCGACATTTTACAGACTTTCACTAATAACTTCACGTCTGCAGTGACCCGGTCACTGTCTGCAACTGAAAATAATACACAAACTACATTAGTCACTGTTGTTGAAATCGCACTAATGTTGAATCATAGCATTTCCTGGTATTTTATGAGGAGCATATCGCCATTCTAAACGAAACTGTCAACGATAATATTACACGAAACAATATTAAAACATATACGTATAGATATATTTATTTATTTACCGTCACATAAAATGTTTACATAATTTATAAAATGGCATGTACGAATTAAAATTAGTAAAATAGGTATGTTTTTGTGAAACAGTAAATAAAGATTACGTGCAACAAACTATGATCGCAGCAATTTGTCTATGGTTTCAAATTGCATTTTATATCTCTGTTATTCGCAGGCTGTTGCTTTTGGATATTTTTTTTTCAGTATGTACAATGTTTGTAAGTATGAAATTATTTTGTGAAACTTTTCATGTTGCTATCCTAGATTGTATCGAATCTTAATAATTAGCCAAAACAGTCAAGGCCCAAAGACTAAAATACACTATTAAACAGACGATGATAGAAGGCAAAGAAAGATAACTAGCTTCGTAAATTAAATTAAAACTGTTACTAGTATAACAACCGGATTGTAATCCGTCCGTCAGGAATCAGGATCAGGATTTTAGTGTGCTGTACTTCTGTGTACGAAAAGTACCTACATTTTAACGAAGTTACGTTTGGCTACGTAGCACGTGCGGTACAGTAGACGTCTACTGTACCGCACGTGAAACTTGTTTAGTAGTGGATAAAATATAGAAGACATATTCTAGCATTCTGGCAAGGTTCTTTCCATAAATACTTTTTATATAGTAGCAGGTTAAATGTATTATTAATAATGAAATCAAGAACGTTTACTTTATACTTTGTTTCTGGTAGACCTTGCCTTGCTATTGATAGATCTTTCTCTTTAAAAGCTATAAAAATACCAAACACAAATTGATAAAAATATAGCCAAACACTTTAATTTACAATTGGAAAGTCCACCTCATTAAGAATTCTATAGTAAAAGAACGGGAATCAATATCTTTGAACAGCCACATTCTCTTACTGAACTAATATTTGTTGATAGGATTGTAGATATAGGCAACAAGCACAAAGTATTGTCAACAGCAATCAGTAACGTAATTAAATAAAATTTTATTCAAACGAAAATTAAAATGTTATTTCCGGTAGAACACAAACATTATTACATCACCAGTCTTTTTCCTTACCTGCAACCAGAATTGCAGTGGAGGACATCGAATAAATAAAGTGTGCATCCTTTTTTTAAGCAGATACTGCAGTTTGTTACTTACAATAGGTTTCTATTTTCCTCGACCTTAATTCTTTCCGTTTTCTTCATTTGTACCCATAGTGCATAGTGCCAGGAAGTGGCATATTTTAGGATTATTTTAGGAATTAAGGGAAAAAGAGTAAAACATTTTATCATCATCTGCCTATCGCAGTTCACTGCTAGACATAAGCCTCTCACACTTTGATCAATTTTCGGTTTCTCGCATCCAACTCTTGCCAGCCATCTTGCGCATATCATCACTCCACCTGGCCTGTGGCCGTGCTGCACTACGTTTGCCTAGACGCGGTCTCCACTCAAGAACTCGTTTACCAAAACGTTTGTCAGTTCTGCAGCTAATTTTGGCCAGCCCATTGCCACTTGAACTTGCTAATCGGCTGGGCTCTGTCGATGACCTTGATTCTCTGCCGGATCACTTCATTCCGGATGCGATCCCTTAGCGATCAGCAGATCTTGCCGAGCATAGCCCTTTCCATGGCACGCTGAGTGACTTTAAGCTTGTGGACCAGCCGTAAGTTTTCACGTTTCGGCTCCTTATATCATGACGGGTAGGACGCACTCATTGAAGATTTTCGTCTTGGATCACTGTTGGATCGACGATGACAAGACTCGTCGTAGCTTTCCAAATGCTGCCTTTTTTTTTTTTTTTTTTTTTTTAACGTGTGGAAATCCCCTCGGACCGTCACCCCACCGGGGTTTGCGGCGGGGTGGTGTGTCGGACTCGAACCGACTAAAACCACACGGTGTGCCCTCTTTGCGCTTCCAGTTTAGGAGGGGTCCAGGTAGTTATCGCCTTCTGGACCCCTCCTAGCGCCGGCCCGCTCCTATTGCGGGCCCCGTCTCAAGATTTTCCTCTCTTTAGGCGACGTCCGGCACACGCGGACGCCGCCCCCTCGCGGCTGGCCAACTAATGCGGGTGGAGGGGAAACCCACCCCGTCCACCCGCGGCCACACTCAGGGCGGCATGAGGCGCAGGTAAGCGCGCCTCCGCCGCCCGGTTCGCCGGCGGCGGATCAGGTCCGAGTGGAGGTCGTCCTCCCGGGCCTTCTCCGCCGCCTCCTTCTGCGATATTACCTCCTCGCAGAAGGTTGCGACCGCGGTAAAACAACTGTCGCTACCGGCCATGGAGCGAATTACGGCCGGTAGCGAGAGATCTGCTCCGATGACTGCAGTGAGGGCCCGGCGCTGCGTCGCCCATGCGGGGCAGACCGCCAGCGTGTGCTGGGCCGAGTCCTCACTGCAGTCGCAGTGGTGGCAGGCGGGACTCAGTTCCCTCCTAGCGACCGAGTGCAGGTACTTTCCGAAGCAACCGTGCCCGGAAAGCACCTGCGTCAGCCGGAAGGAAAGGGCCCCGTGCTGCCGCCCTGCCCACTCGGCTATGACCGGCTGGAGAGCCTCCACGGCGGCGAAGCCAGCGCGTGGAGTCTCCAGCCGGAACGACCATCTGACCATGGTGGCTCGGCGAGCGGCTTCGCGCCACTCGCGCACGTCCTCGGGCGGAGGGCGAAATCCGCTCTCCGCCCGGAAGTCAGCCACTCGCCGATAAACTTCAGCGAGCACTTCCGCCTCCAAATCCCACGGGGGTGTTCCGGCCAAGGCGCAAGCCGCCTCGGTGGACACCGTGCGGTATCCACGTATGGCTCTGACCGCCAATATCCTCTGGGGGCGCCAGAGGCGCGCCCTATTCGGGGCGGTCAGGGCCGCCACCCACACCGGTGCACCATAAAGCGCCATGGACCGGACAACAACCGCGTACAGCCGCCTCGTGGGAACACTGGCCCCGCCCAAATTGGGCAAAAGTCGCCCTAGGGCGGAGGCAGTGTCCACCAGCTTCGGACCAAGCTGTCGGAAGTGCTCGTCGAAGAGCCACCTACCGTCTAGGACCAGACCCAGGTACCTCATCTGGGCCCGGACCGGTACGAGGACCGAGCCGACCTCGATTGAGGCGCCGGCGGGTGGACCACGACGGGGCCCATGAAATAATAGGGCCTCCGTCTTATCCAGGGCCACCCGTAATCCCAACGCCTCAATGCGCCCGACCACCTGGGAAACTCCCGTGGCGGCCAGGCGCGCCGCCTCCTGGAAGTTAGCCCCCCGGGCCGTGAGTAAGGTGTCATCCGCGTAGCAGATTACACCCAGCCCAGGGGGGAGACGCCCTCGTAGGGCCCAGTGGTACCCGATGTTCCACAGGAGAGGTCCTAGGACAGACCCCTGCGGAACACCGCACGACATGGCCCTGCGTCTCAAGACGCCATTTCGGTCCTCGTACATGACGGTTCGCTCCTCAAGATAATCTGCCACCAGCCGCCTCAGGTACTCTGGCACTCCGTGGTAGCGGAGCGCTTCCCTGATGCAGCTGAATGGCAGACTATTGAAGGCGTTGGCGATGTCCAAGGACACCGCCAACACCACTCCGCCGCAGCTCACGGCCTCCTCGGTCACGGCCCTAAGGCGCATTACGGCATCGATCGTCGAACGCCCCGTTCGGAAACCGAATTGGGCGTCCGACAAATCGGGGCCAACCTCGCAAAGGTGCCGGACGATGCGGGCAGAGAGCACCCTCTCAAAAAGTTTACCCGCCTCGTCCAGCAACACGATAGGCCTATAGGCCGCGACCGATTCGGCAGGCCGTCCCGGCTTCTGCAGCAGGACCAGCTTCCCGCATTTCCAGCGCTCAGGGAAGCGTCTGGACGCCAGGCTAGCGTTCAACACTTCCCTGAGGTGGTCCGACATGTAGTCGAGGGCTCGGGCCATCACTCGGGCTGGAACCCCGTCCGGCCCGGGGGCGGTGTTCTTGGATCGAATCCGTAGAACAGCCGCCCCCAACTCCGATTCCCTGACGGGCGGCACATCAACCTCGCTGCCCCCGTCGTCTTCGGCTGATGCAGCCATCGACGGGGGTGTGTGCTCCGCCCGCTGCGGGAATAGGCCCTCGACCACTTCCTGCAGGAAGCTGGGCTGGAGAGTCTCCGTAAGGGGGGGGCCCGACGTGCGGAGCTTTTGACGCACCGCACGATAAGGGCGACCCCAGGGGTCACGCTCGAGACTCTCCAGCATCTCCTCTCTACACGCATCCTTGGCGCGGCAGATGGCCAGCCTCAGAGTTTTCCGAGCTTCTCGGTACTCCTCATGAAGCCGGTCCACCTCCTCACCGACCCCGCGGTGACGTCGCCGACTACGGGTGAGGGACCTCCGGGCACGTACACAGGCCGCACGGAGGTCCGCCAACTCCTGGGACCACCAGTAGACCTCCTTCCTTGGAGGCCGACAACCACGAACGCGGGGCATGGCCGCATCGCAAATCTGCGTAAGCGCTTCGCAGAAGCGACCAGCCCCCATGTCGACCTCCTCGGACTTCCAAATGCTGCCTAACCCAACTAAAATTTTCTATTCACGTCATATACATACATACATATTTTTAAACAACTTCGAAAATGGCACCGCGTACCGCAATCAGTTCCGGTAGTAGAACATAACCTTGATTTTATCGAAGTTAATCCGTAGGCCGATGCGTACAGAAGAGTCAGCTAGGTTTTTCAGTATCTGTTGTAGGTCCTGCATTGTCTCTGCCATGATGACGACGTCGCAAGTGAGAGATGTATTCGGCATTGATATTGATGCGACGCCCTTTCCAGTGTAGCATCTTGAACATGCCTCCATTGCATTTGTGAACAATGCAATGGAGGACATGCACATACCTTCTTTCAAAGCTTCCGACATGGTAACCGCCAATTTGCATTTTTATGCATACTCGTATTGGATACAATGTCTGAAGCAGAAGTGAGCGAATGCCATAAAACTCTAAAAACTATACTCGATAGACCAGGAAGATATACAAGGTGAATGTGTTCTTCTAAACAATTGTTGACTTAACTTTCAATAAGCGGCGCGCTTGGCATTTGGCGGTTACAGTCATACAAGGTTACCGCACCGTGTCAATGGCACATGCACGCCGCACATGCATCCCGGAACATGCACGCCGTTGCCAATGCCGGTTCCCCTATGGGATTGAGGAGGAAGTGCTCGCCGGTATATCGACGGACGACTGACCTCCGGGCGCCTAGAAAGAGGGAGCGTCTAGGCTGGAGGTTCCTTGTTCTGGCTTTGTCGCCGTGGAGGTGCTCCAGCGGGTAATCGTCGATTGGGCAGCCATGCCGGGCACTGCTGCTTAGGGAAATACCTACACTCAGTCACTAGGAGGGAATTGAATCCCACCTGTCACCAATGCGATTGCTTTAACGGGAGTCTTTTGGTCAGCGGTCGCTAGCAATTTGACTTGCTTGAGCGTTGCAGTGTCTGCAGTAATCAGAGACGATTAATGCTTCCAGCCACCATAACCAGCCTTCATAAGCTCCACCGTCGGTAGCGACAGATGTTTTACCGCGGTTGCATCCTTATGCGAGATGAAGTCTTCAAGGCGCCGGCTTCTAGGAGGGGTCCGAATGTCTTAATAACAGCTGTCCCTTCCTATATCCGATGCAGAATGGCACACCGTGTGGTTTTAGTCGGTTAAATTCCGACACTACGCCCCGCCGCAAACCCCGGTGGGGTGATATGACGGCCCAAAGGGTTTCCACAGGTAAAAAAAAGGTGCGGCTTACTTAACAACGAAACAAATAAATGGTAAAAGTATAAAAATGCCTGCAGCGAGTTAAGGTAACATTTATTTATTTATATTAAAAATAGCTCAAATAGCTACAGGTTAAAATAAAAGAAACAGTGAAAAGCCTGTCTGGCAAATTGGCAAATTATCTAGAAAGACTTACTATGTCCTGCAAAGTATCACTGGGTTATCTGGTATCTAAAATCGAAATTGCGAAGTCAAGTACCTAGAGTAGGAGTGCTATTTTGATAAGTAAATAAAAACCACCGTTAGTTGTATTTATTACTAAAGTTTTTATTCGAAACTCAATCCTACTCTATTTTTCTTAAGAAAAAGTTTTTATTAAAATTCGATACTTAGTCATGGCAAGATAAAAAGATTAAAAAAGTATTACGCAAGTGTTTTATGAAGTATAATTAAAGGACATCTGTCCTAACAAAATTAGCACATTGGTTTTGAAGATTATTGATTGACGACAAATAAATAATATGTTAAAATCACATCTAGCTTTACATACAGATGATAACGAAGATGAAGAAGAAGATGAAAAGAAAGTTGAGGAAGAGGAGGAATCGGTAGCAGTGGAACATGAACCCATCGTTTTAGATGCCGAAAAGAGATATCTAAAGAAGTCTGAGGTCAGCGTCCGACTAAGTTTCCTGGGAAAAACAGCTGACGGCGACGGGTAAATATACGAAGAAAAAATTAATTCTATATATTCCCATAGTAACGTGGATGAGAGTATCCTGTTGAAGAGATTATCCTAATAATACTTTTAAATACCTATCACAAAATTTGATTTTGTCCACAGGTATACATACCTTAAAGCGACACTTACAGGAATGGGTTTAACACATATTGATGCAATAAAAAGCTTCAAACATCTTCAGTTTCTTGATCTATCAAATAACAATCTGCAACTAAACGAATTGCAAGTTGTCACCAAGCTACCTTATTTAGTTTTACTGCAAGCAGACAAAAACAAACTGAATGCGGCAGAATTGCACCGTATGCCATATCTTCAAGTGCTTATCTTGAACAACAATGATATAACAACAGTGCACGATGTATTTCAACCAGAACTCAGTACTTTAGAAGTCGGTTTCAATAAAATACAAAAATTACATTTCACTAATGCCATGCCGAACATTAAATGTTTGGACTTCCGAAATAATCGAATAATAGAAATTTCAGATTTAAATTTTCCAAAGCTAGACAGTTTATATTTAGCGCATAACAATATAGTATCGTTAGCAGGGCTAGAAAGGCTAGTTAATTTAAGAATACTTCATGTACGAAATAATCCAATCCGGCTGTTAGACGGTTTCCATGAAGATCACACTAAGTTAATTTATGTTAATTTACGAAATTGCAAAGTAACAACATTTAGACAAGTAAAAAAATTGCGGGTAAGTTTGCAATTAGCCATTTTAGCAAGCTACTAGATACTTTTAAATATTAGATAATACACGAGAAAACTCTGAATGAATGAAGTCTTCATTGAATATCTTTTTACTCCAACGCTATATCTAACATCTTTAGTTAACATTGCCAAAGTGAAGGTATAACTAACTTACAGCGACCAGGCTGAACAATGATACGAGCGAGCGAGACACGAGAACGACGTGCCCTCTGTTCTGATACGAGGTAGGAGGCATTCTGCCATAAAACGCCATTGGAGTAGATTTTAAATAATTTTCTTTTAAAACAGACAGCTTTCCTATCAGGGCTATGAACCGGGTTAAATCTAGATAGAACGCATGCACGACCACCCTACTCATTAATCGAGAGAAAGCAGAACCGTAACATCTTTTAACGATCACAGCTTGTTTTTTTGCATTTCAGGTATTGAAAGGAATTGAAACACTTATACTAAAAGGAACACCATTCATGGGAGGAACAGGTGAAGAGGATGTAGGGGGAGGCGGCGAAGAAGATGACAATGAGCTTCGTGTGGAGATTTTGGCCGCTTTGCCACGATTGAAAAGGATAAATAAAGGAACTGTAACACCTGAAGAGAGGTAGGCCAGTGAGAGTAAAATACACACACACGTATAACACGTCATGACTACCCAAATTCTTAGAATTAAGGTCTCGTAAAAGACTGATTCTGTGCGTAATATTGAAGTTTTCTTATTACAGAGAAGAGGCAAAGACGTTGATGCTTCAATGGCTTGAGGAGGGTGAGAAAGATGAAGAAGAAATAGAAGACGAGGTACCAAATGAGGAAGACGATAGTCAGCCATGAGAAAAAAGATGATTTTGAAGATATTCAGTCTTAATATAGTTACTAATATAAGTTTTTTAATTTAAAAGAGATTTCTTGATCTTTTTTGTATTAATTTAAGTAAATAGAATTGTTTCACGTATACTTTTTCTTAGCAGGTAGCATAGGAACCTTTTTACGACCAGACTACCAAATTACAAATATGAAGCTGTATCTTCTGCTTCATTTCTGCTGCTTCATCCTCTAATTGTATTCTTCATAATTTTCATGAACATTTGTTTAAATGAACCACGTAGGTATTTACAGTGCACCTAGACCTTCATTCTTGAATCTAAAATGATATACTTAATGAGAAAGAAAAACAAGATTATCCGAAACCTTTGTCATTAGACACGCAGGCCTGGGGGTGACAGGTGAGGCAATCTGTCACGGTAGAAATCTGTCATCTGAGACGCGTTGCCGAGCGCGCGCGCCCGTTCAGGAGCACAAAGGGAACATGGGGGGTTCCCATACAGGAGGGGGGTCATCTACAAAAAGGGGAAAGGCTACATTATAAAGACTTAGACGTACAACGAGCTTTGTTTGGCATTTCTCTACGAATAGAGGTTGAGTCTCGTAATAGTTGCCAAGCTTTTTCCGAATTTCTGTTTCCAAACCTACAATTACTTTTATTATTGTGTTTATAAGTGAAATTGCCTCGATGATTGATTACGTACTTTAAAAAAAGTCCATATTTTATTGATTTAATTACAAATGTGTAGTTTTGAGATTTTTCCTTGTACTTGTAGGAAAGACGATGTTAATCGCCAAATTTTATAGTTCTAGGTCAATGTGATGTAGGTAAACTATTAATTTTGATTTCCTTCAGTGTTGAAATATGCGTTTTTTGCGTCATAAACGGCCGTATCTTTTTTTACGTTAACTTACAACTACTACAGACTTGAGTTCCTTGAGTATAAAGTTTTAATTTAAACTCTATACTTCCACGCTTTCCCGAGATAAAGTTCTTGAACTCTTGACAGACAAGACAGACTGACGGACAACAAAGTGATCTTATTAGGGTTCGGTTTTTTCTTTTTGAGGTATAGAACCCTAAAAAACAAAGTCATAAAGTCATAAACCAGAAGTATTGACTATTAAATTGGTCGTATACGTAGCGAAAACAAACCTTGCTTGGAAAAATTACATCTTGAATTAACTGAACATGGTTTTAGGAAAGATTTATGTTCATTTTAATCACTTACAAATTGCTTGAAGATTATATTTTATAATTTAAAAAAAAAAACATTTTATTTAAGAGGCATTGTACTAGTTTATGCCCGCGTCTTTGATTTTTTCTATTTTGTCTGAGCTAAATGATAGCCTATGTCCTTTTCCAGACTATAATATTTCTGTACCAGTTATTCAACTCAGGTCAGTCGTTTTACCCTGATTGAGTAATAAACATCCAAACTTTCACATTTAAAATAAGCATACATTCAAACTCATCGTTAAGTCTTTACAAAAAAATATCAAAACGGGCCACAGGTACAACTATTACAGCCAATTACAGGTAATAGTAAAATTTTATATGATTTAGTAAACCCATAGTAATATTACAGAAATGAAGCAATAAGACAAGAATTACAGTACCTACTGCAGCACTACAAATGTAATGGTTTTTTAGTGAGGAAATTACTTGTGTAATGCACACGATTATTTGTTCACAACACATCTTTATTTGTGAGGTAGGGGTAGGGGTACTAAAATAAATAAATGGTATGAAATAATGAACTTACATAATCTATATATTTTTCTAATAACGCGTGTTAAAGTTTATTTCTACACGATCTGATACATGTACCTACCTACGTTAAGAGCCTAGTCAAAACGAAAATAAATTAAGCGACGGGGTGCGATTCAGATCTTATGTGCCGAACTACTATGAATGAACGCTGAATTTAAAGAAGGATTCTCCGCTCTTTGCGAACGCATTTTAACCTAGAAACGAAACTCGTGACACAGTTGAAGGGTAATTACTGGTAATCGTAATCGATATCGATAATAAAGTTTTCGCAAGCGGTATGCGCAAAGTAAAATGTTTGAGCATTCTGTAAAAGTACCCAGACATTACAAAGCGGCTGCTAATATTTTAAAGAAAGTGTGCTCTGAAGGTGGAAGTATTAAAACGTTGTTATACGACAATAAACTTCGACATTTCGTAAGTATTTACAAATGGAATTCTATTTATTTAGTAAGATATGTTTAGATACCTGTTCTATCCTTAGTTTGTCATATTTGCAGAACGTAAGGTCGCTATACGCATTGGTAACTACTGCAGTCAGAAATACACGAGCCCTAACACGTCTATTTTCCGAAATACAATTATTAGAGAAAGAGCCCCGCCTTGATCCATGGCTTGCCCGTATTCTGACCATAGAAATTCTGTTGGGCAAAAAATCATTACCTGGTCACAGCAAGCCGGAACAAACTTTACTTGCTTATAAAGAACAGATTGAACATTTCCCAATTAAACATCCAGAGCTCTTCGACTTTAAAGGTAATTTTATTTTCTATTCTTTTTTTTCAGGTCTAATACTGCCATAAAGTAAACACAATGGCTGAAGCAGACGAAGGTCCTTTAATGTCTAAGCAAGCAAAACAGGCTGTCTTAGTGTTAGCAAATTTGTTTATATATAGTGTAGCTATGTTCACCGTTCCATTTATTGCGTTCTTTGGTGTTCGGCATGCACTCACTGAGTATTACCACTTAGACACATTTGCAGTGAATGTATGGTCTGTTGTTTCCGCTGTTGTAGTAGTAAACACAATTATATTGGCATATGTTTACAAAGCCTATCATGAGAAAGAATATGACGAGCATGGGAATGAGATAGATCAGCATAAATATGACCCGACACCTGCAGAGTCTACTTCAGCCGAGAAGAGTAGTTTGAATTTAAAACAAGATTGATATATATATATATTTGCATTTATTTACATTCCTATTTTGTATGCATTTTGCATATAAATTAAAAGAAAATGTCATGGTTTAAAGTATTATACTTACCAAAGTATTGAGTGCTCTACTCTTACAAGAAACTGATTCAAGGCTAGTAAATGTATATATAGTATAAATGACTGTTTAATAAGAAATTAGCAGTAAAAGTTCATTACCAACCAATTCACAGAGTACTTAAAATATGTTATTGTTAAGATTAGTACTCAAAATGAGCAACATGCTCAATTGTCAAACAAACAGCAATAAAGCTTACTTCGTTGTATTCATTTTTATTCGTTGCCCACCTCTGTGATGGGAATGCTATGCAATCCTTCTGTATTTGTGCCTTATTCCACCATCTGTGCTTGAAACTATTAAAAACCAGTTGACTTACAGCTGAAAGATGATTGAGTGGAGTTTCTTTTTTCTTTTAAATCTTGCCTGTCATTGTACCTAAAACTCATTTTATATTATTATAATTCTGTAGAAAAATTGTACCCTTATGATTCTAAGACCACAACTTATGTTGTTTCAAAGCTTAAGATATGTTGTTGTTTGTAATTAGGTCTGTTTACAGATTTATAAAATAAATATGACTACATACAATATAAATAGCAGGTCTATAAGGTTGTAACTTTCTAGATGCCTGTTACTTATTTCATAATATTATCCAAAACTGACAGTCTTTTACTAAATACTCGTAATTTGTCAATTGGTTGTTTATATCATATAAATGTCCCTTTTGAATTTTGGGAAGACTATTATTTGTAGTTTTCTTGTAAGGGTCTCTATTCCTCCATTTATGTTATATTATTATAAGGACCGATATAATGAATAAACTCATTCCAAAATATAAATTTACTAAAAAAATGATACATCTCATAAATCTATCCTAAACTTATTGACTGGCTGGTCTGCTGGCTGGGTGGCTAGTGGTCGGTGACTGTGACTCTTAAGCCAGAAGTTGTGGGTTCGATTCCCAACCAGGACAAATAATTGTGTGATGAGCACAATCATTTCTGAGTCTGGTTGTAATTTATCTATAATATTTATGTATTTAAAAACATAAGTATGTTTATCAGCCGTCTGGTAACCATAGAACAGGCTCTGCCTAGTTTGGGATCTGACAGCCGCGTGTGAAATGTGTGAGGTTATTATTATTATTAATAACTCTTTCATGACATCCTGATCTCTCTCTTCATAAAAGGGATCGGTCAACCGCCTGGTCATAAGTTCTATTAGAACGTCTATACTAATTTTAAAAATAGAATGTTCTTTTTTTTTTAAATAACTCGCATTAGGAATACATTCCTGTGTCGCGGGGGACTTTACAAACATTCATGAAATGGACACAAAGAACACCCAGATTCCGAACAACAATTTGTGGATCACACAAACTGTTATTCCATGCAGGGACCCACCTTTTAAACCACTACGCCATCCTTGCAGTCGAATACATTTTCAAATATGGAGTGGTCGAAGAAGAAAGAGTCGCGGTTATTGCGTTGCACCGCTGTTGTTATGCGCCAGCAAAGATTTTCAATAGTCTGCAAAAATTTAACACAACGGTTTGTAAACAAAAAAATCTTAGCTATTCACATGGGCTCAGCGGAACCACGGTCAATATAGTTTTAAATGAAGACCAGGGACTACGAGCTTATCGTTAAAAAACCAGACATTTTTTGAACGAGCGTGTAAAAAAAGTAGGCTCGAAATATCTTGCGTTTTGTTACGGCTGCGGTATGCAGCAATAAAATGCTGCGAAATTTTGGTTTTGGATGAAGAAAAAAATACCATGTAAGAAAGTTATAATTTTACAACAAACAAAATGATAAGATTTATTCCTACAGCAGTGAAGAAGCGTGTATTCCGAGGGTCCAGTGTTGGCATTATCCTTCGTTATTCATAGTTTGGCTTGGAGTCTCATATACAGGTTTAACTGAGATGTTTTTCTGTGAAAACCAGTACCGTGATGTACCAAAATTCCGCCCTAACGAACATAGTGAAACCTGTTTCTTAAACAATGTTTAAAAACAGACATTGGATATTCCAACAGACCTGCACCAGATCATAAGGCACGAAGCACTAAAAACTGGTTTACCTCCCGTTATAGTCCAGATTTAAACCCACTGGACTACAATATATGCCAACATTTGGAGAATAAAGTTTGCGCTAAACCTCACCAGGATTTGGAGTCTATCCCATCTCTGGTTAAAGCAGGGCATTTCGAATAATGTAATGTATGTAATATATTGTACTTTTAATTACCTACCTTTCTTATATAATTTTATAAATAATTATCAAAAGTGTATCATTAATTACATTCAAAGTTTTTGACAGAGTTTATGACCTAAGTGTATGTCCATGCAAAAAACAGCTTTCTAGCACTAACAGTTTAAGCTAAGCCGCAGACGGACAAACGGACAGAGTCCTTAGTCCTACTACGGCATCTTAAAAAGGAGTAGCTACATACCTAGAAAGAATTATCTTCGCGTATTAAAATCAGAAGCTTATAAAACGCCCACATTTCGCTAGTTATAATTTTAGTGTCATGTACATTCTGTGTACTAAGTATCGGGAATTTGTCAATAAAACAAAAAATACAAATTATTCATCTAAATTTATTTTATCGCCTTCAAAGTAGGCCCCATCGCTTGCAATACAACATCTCCACCGCTTCACCCAGTCTTCCATACATTTTTCATAGGCTATTTGCGGTATGGCAGCTCATTCAGCGAATTTTCTTTTATGGCTTCTATCGACTCAAAACGTTTTCCTCGAAGTGGTAATTTTAACTTGGGAAATAAAAAAAAGTCAGACGGAGCTATATCAGGTGAATACGGTACTTGGTCGAGAACTTTTGTTGAATTTTTCGCTAAAAACTCTTTCACTATAATGGCTGTGTGTGATGGTGCATTATCATGGTGCAGCATCCATGAGTTGTGTTGCCACAAATCTGGACGTTTTCGGCGGATACTCTCACGCAAACGCTTCATGACGCCTAAATAATATTCTTTATTCACTGTTTCTCCCTCTGGAAGGAAATCGGAGTGAACCACACCATGGTAGTCAAAAAAAACTGTCAGCATCACCTTGATTTTGGAGCGACTTTGCCGCGGTTTTTTTGGTTTCGGCTCGTTTTCGAGACGCCATTCTGAAGACTGTTGGCTTGTTTGCATGTCGTACTCATAAACCCATGTCTCGTCGCCAGTTATTATACGTTTCATAAAGGTCGGATCCGTAGAAGCTCGGGAAACCATGTCTTCAGCGACATGCTTTCGCTGCGCTTTTTGAACAAAATTAAGCTCTTTTGGAACTAGTCGAGCGGCGACGCGTTTTATGCCTAAATTGTCAATGAGAATGTTGTGGACGGACTTAAAAGATATGTTCACCTCACTAGCCAACGTCGTCGTCGTTGGTCGTAGCGGTTGAAGGTCTACCAGAACGAGGCAAGTCTACTACTACTTCTCGGCCTTCTTTAAAAGCCTTATACCATTCATAAGCCCTTGTTTTCGATATACACGATTCGCCGTAGGTATTTCGCAACATTTTTAGTGATTCACCACAAGAAAAATCATTCGAAACACAAAATTTAAGGCACACTCTTTGTTCAACAATATTTTCCATTTTAAAAATCGCCGAGGACTCAAAACTATCACCAACAAAAAGTGTAGTTTAAAACAAATTAAATGACAGATCAACATCAGACAGACAAATTTTGCGCGCTTAATCAGTACAGTGCTACCAACATGCAGTAAAAAAATTAGAACGACCTCTTTTACGCGGGTCTTTTTATTGACATATTCCCGATACTTTTTACACCGAGTTGTATTGCGGGGATACAGTGGATCCGGACTGCCCAAGATCGGGATGGTTGATCCTCCAGCAGACCCTTGTCCAACAGTACACGGTGGCGGCGGTAGGCTGATGAATTCATTAGGACGAGAAAATTCTGACATGAGAGACATGATGACTAGATCCTATTGTGGGTTAGTGCATTCAACATTTAAGTGACGAAACTAATATATTGATAGGATTGATGATTTTATCTACAACTGGCGAAGGACGTCTTTTATATGAATTTAAATATTAGCAAAAGGACTTTGTCGATACTTACAATCCGTGCTTGACATCCGCGACTCATAAAACTCTTAACTCTGTTAATTTTGGTACAGACATAACATTGTGAGCTTTTAGTTTTTCCTATCAGGCTAATAATGTCCAAAGTTAGAAAACCGTAAACGAGAAACCGCTTTAAAAGGTTTTTTTTTAAATCTGCTAACATATTTGCTTTCGTTTATAGGAAATGATACACACATAGAGATCTTTAAAATACAATAGAACTACGGTTAATTGCTTACATTTAAGATCGGTTGGAGGGTAATAATTTATTATAATAGTATAGTTTAACTTCTTATTCTGGTTACTAAACCAAATAAAAAGAGTCAAGGTTCGTATAAATTAACTGAGCACATAATATATATAAATATTTAAAGTCAAGAAAACACAAGCAATACGTACCTACATAATATACTCCTGCCTATAAAGAAGATATCGTTTGTCGTATGACCTCGCTTTGAAAGTATCACTTCCTTAACTGCCGCAGTCAGCGCCCAGCATCGGAGTCCTTGGCGTAGACATATCGATTAAAGCATAGTTTCACGGTCACTTAGAAGCCAAAGACGGGTAAGAAAAATTAGGCTCGAAGCTCTGATTTACCGCATTTTGCATCCCCAGTACTAGCTTCCCCCTTTGGACCACGTTCTACAAAGAGCGACTTGAATCGTGGATTGCTAGGATACTTCAGAATCAGTGTCAGATGTAGCTGCGTATGCTCTATCGCTTGTATTATGGAGAATTCTCCGTGGCTTTGTTCAGGATTAAACCGCTGCAGCTTTCCGAACAAATTATCGTCTGCGGTATTTCCGGACTCATACAACTTGCAAACTTTCAGAAATGCGTATCCTACCTCAAAGGCCGGTATCGCACTTGTCATTCTTGAGTTGCAGTTGTAAAATGCCGGTAGTCACTTGCCATCAGATGCCGCGTTTGTTCGTTTGCCTCCGGAAAAAAAAACCGCAAAGAGGTTGACAGAGGCGAATTAATCGCCCACATTTTGTCCACATTCATTTAGTCTCACGTAACTGAGGGCACGGGTATTGTCTTTAACCGGACACTTTAGTGCTTAGATAGACCAGGAATTTCCTTCCTAGGGCACACCGGGTCCCCGGCTATTGGGACCCGAGATGGAGTGTGGTTTTTGGTCGGTTCAAGCCCGACATTACCACCGGTGGGTGGTATCCGAGGGGGGTTTACGCACAGAAAAAAGAGTACTTAGAAATATTAGGAACACATTTTGAAGGAAAATCACTTGCAGGTGAGGGTTAGTAAGTCAGGGTCGCTTACTTGTATTACCGGATTTAACCGAAATGTATAGTGATATCCGAAGTTTAATGATTGACATGGAATAATACTCGTCAAAAGATAGGAAGATAAATAATATCGGTTCACAAACCAATCCGGTGAAATGGTTGGCGGAGTGATCTTAGTCTTGGCGAAGGTTAAATAATGTTAGGTAATAATTAGTTTTTTTTATAGTTTCTCAATCCCTATCTCTTATATCAGCTCCATAGAATCTTAGGTGAGTCGTGTGAGATGCTGGAGAGGGTAGCATCGGCAGAGAAGTATGCTATCGCAAGCCTTTCTTAACATCGAAGATAAGTTTAAAGATAAGATCGGTTAATACCTAACCGTGTACCATATTTATATCTACAGGCACTTCACGTATATAAAGATAAAAAGATGTAACAGCTGGACTATTATATATATATATATATGTATAAATATATATTATTTGTTATCCGTGTGGTGACGGATTTAGAATACGGAATGTCACCACCCCTATTCATCCCGTGGGTGTCGTAAGAGCCGACTAGGGCAGCAAACTACACAGGACAACATCACTGCTAAGAAAACGAAAACTAGACACAAATCCCATGCCAACCCGTCTGGCCAGCGTGGTCTAGTGGGCCAAAACCCCTTTCTAAGGAGAGACTTTTGTCCAGCAGTGGACTATTAAAGGCTGTTGATGATTATTTGTTAAAATTCTAACAGAAATAATCACGAAGTTCTGAAATCGTTTCTAAATGTAGAAGTAAAAACAATAATTTATTTTTATATATTATTTAAAAATACCTCTGTTTTCTCTGCCTCTTGAAAGCTGTATTTGACCTGCGTATTGTATACCTACATATATCGTGTCACTTGTAGTACTGATAATAATTGATTCATTGTTTTGATCCAGGTCCTCGCAGACCCAGATATGTACGTGTCAACACTCTCAAACTGTGCATCGAAGAGTTCATTTCGTGGTTTGAAGATGAGGGATTCGAATTTGTCCCCTGCACAATTGGTACTTATAATGACTATCTGAGTCAGGTACGAAATCTGACAGAAAGTCAGTTCCTCCAAGACTATCATATCAAGAGCATATTTGTATTCCATACTGACACAAAGTTCTATGACCATGAGTTGTATACAAACGGCAGGATTTTCCTACAGGATAAGGTAAGTAGAGACTCCTCAAGACCCCTGTATATTTATTTATAGGGGAGTTAGTTATACTTTTAAGTTTTAACAGTAGTAAGAGCCCGAGAAACAGTCCTCGGGGAGAGAAAGAAAAGAAAGAAAGATAGAAAATAGAGAGAAATCATGATCATAGAGAGGAGGTAGGATAGTCTTTAGAATAGAATAGAATAATCTTTAGGTATTGTACACCAATTCAGGATATTATACATACAATAGTATTCCAAGTTACCATGTACAAATGGTATTTACTTAAGTTTCATAAAATAATCGCTTTTTCAAAACAGTGTTAATGTAATATCTATATATACGAGTATATATCTATACTAGAATAACGAGAAGCAAGATGAATAAGTTATGCAAACTTTCTAAAAACCCAAACAATTACTATGGTACTTTGGAATGGATGGTGATTCGTAAATACTGATGAACGGATGTTAACATATAAAATGACATTGTTAAATACCAAGAAAAATATAGTAAGCATGCAAGGAGCGAAAACGCGAAACGATTTTTTCCATGGAAACCTGGAAGAAATACAACATTGCCGTATCAAAATGTCTAGAAATCTTAAAAAGTAATGTAATCAAATGAAAACAGATATTTTTTTCTACCTCCACGTGTTCAAGTTTAATTTTACATACTCTGGCTCAGTGAAGTTCTCAAAAAACAGCGAAAAAAACAAATCACAAATACACATATTTTCAGATTTTATAATAACTTAATCGTCTCATTCTGCTGGGATATTAGAACATGTGCACATGTTCTAATATCCCAGCAGTAGTAGTACTACGAGTATTAGAACTACTCCATATAACAAACATATCAACAAACTAGGCGACTACTACATTAAGGTTATTACTACATTTTGTCAACATGTTGTAAATATTTCAGGCCTCAGCATTGGCCGTGCATTTACTGGCACCGGAGATGGGATCCACAATCCTCGATATGTGTGCCGCTCCTGGTATGAAGACCACGCAAGTAGCTGCCCATATCAACAATAATGTAAGCAAATTACACTAATTATAATTTTAATTAGTCTTTAAATAAAATCGGTCTGCTTTTGATGGGTTACGTAAATGGGTAAATAGTTTAGTTCCCTTTTCTGCTCTATTTTGTCAAAAGATTTTTTCCGGTTACTTTTAAGAGTTTTATTGATATCAATAAATAAATTTACAAAGGTTGCTATTTTCACAATAATAATAATGGTTATGGCTGACCAGCGGGCTAACAGCTTACTGCCAATTTCAATAAATAAATAAATATTTTCTAGGGTAAAATCTACGCATGTGAAAGAGATCCTGAGAGACAAAATACACTTCAAAACATCATCAAGCTAGCCGGAGCCCACGCAGAACTGATTGCCAAAGACATTTTCGATATAAAGAAAGGCATGCTGGATGACGTGGAGTACATTCTTTTGGATCCCAGTTGCTCAGGATCAGGTAATTAGCAACAATTATTATTAATTAATCTACATCATCAATGCGCATGAAAGTAGTGGGCATTTTATTGAGCCACTATTTTTTGTAAATACGCGAAACATTTCAAGTCATTTTCGAAGTCTCTGTTACTGAGTCTTCTCACTAAACTATTCTCTAAATTATAAAACTCCAACTTCAATATTTTACGAGATATGAATATCTTAATATCATACATTTTGGAAGTGACAAAACATCAAAAATCGTTTTTCTAGTTGTCTATAATCGCATGGATGTAATCTTAATCTCTGATCATGGTTGTCAAGAGAATTTAAAATATCTGAGTTTAGATCTAAAACAAACGTGAATGTGTTGAAAAGTTCTTTGTCGCTAAAAAGAAACCAAGATAGAATTTTGCATCTTGTCCAACCATGTTACAATGTAATTACCGTCACTGGACTTAACGAGTTTTTTGTTGTTTTAAAAATATGTACTCAGATTTAACGAACAACCCCTGGTGATTACCCCTAGTAATTGATCGATGGGTAGAGGGTAGGGGTAGTTTATTGTATCACTACTTTTATATTCCATTTTTTTATATTTTTATTCATATATGGTATTTATTGAAGGTATGGACTTGTACGACTACAAGCAAGCAGGGGCAGAAAAACTACAAAAGCTTACGGATTTGCAAGAGAAGTTATTAAGACATGCCACTACTAACTTTCCTAGAGTCAAAAGAATAGTATACAGCACGTGCTCTTTGTTGCCGGAAGAAAACGAAAAAGTAGTTTCCAATATAATGAAAGCTGCAAAAAGTAAATGGCAAATCCAGTCTGTAAGGGAATTGCTCAATAATCAGTGGAACAACTTTGGTTCGGGTGAAGCTCATAGTATAGCTGCGAGGTGTTTGTATGCAAAACCAGAATCTGATTTAACAAAAGGTTTTTTTTTGGCTGTGATGGATAGAAATCCCAGAGACTGGAGTAAGTGTATGTCAATGTCGAGTGAGAAAGAAAAAGTAGAAACCAAAAAAATAATGGAATTAACAAGACAGGAAAAGATAGCAAAAAAAGGAAAGTTAAAAGCAAATAATAAACAAATTGAAGAAGTAGCTAAACCTGACATTCAAGAAGAAGAAGAAACTGAAGCGCAGAATGAAGGAGGCGATCCAGTACCTACAGTAAATAGTGAAGATGAAGGACATTCAAAAAATGTTGTTGCTGTAGAAAAGAAGTGTAGAAAACAGAAACGTAGAACTGATGGGGAAAGTCAGTCATTGAACAATATTACTGATAATTTGAGTGGTTTACTCATGGAGGGCGAAGAAATACCTAAAAAGCAAAGAAAGATCGATAAACTGAAACAGATTGAGGAAAGTGAACCTAACGCTTCTCACGCAGAGGATATTTCATCTAATAATATAACATGTAGTGAAGATATACCTAAAAAGAGAAGAAAGATCGGTAAACTTAAACAGATGGAGGAAAGTGAACCTAACGCTTCTCGCGGAGAGGATATTTCATCTAATAATATAACATGTGGTGAAGAAATACCTAAAAAGAGAAGAAAGATCGATAAACTTAAACAGATTGAGGAAAGTGAACCTAACGCTTCTCACGGAGAGGATATTTCATCTAATAATATAACATGTGGTGAAGAAATACCTAAAAAAAGAAGAAAGATCGATAAACTTAAACAGATTGAAGAAAGTGAACCTAACGCTTCTCACGCAAAGGATATTTCATCTAATAATATAACATGTGGTGAAGAAATACCTAAAAAGAGAATAAAGATCGGTAAACTTAAACAGATTGAGGAAAATGAACCTAACGCTTCTCAAGGAGAGGATATTTTATCTAATAATATAATATGTGGTGAAGAAGTGCCTAAAAAAAAGAAACGCAAAAAGCATGTTGATATCAATGAAGGAGCGGAAGCAACTCAAATAAGATCGGATTCAGAATTTACAAAGAAAAAATAAAAAAAAATGAATATTGATGGATATGAATGATACCTAAGTCTAACACGAGAAATCTAAGTTGTTAAAATTCTAAAATTAATATAATTAGATAAACAGAATCGTTCTGTTCTTAGACACGCTTCCGAATAGATTTCAGCATTTGTGATGTTTTTTGTTTTTTTTTTATTAAACTTAACACCATTATTTGTTTGTTTATTATTTACATATTTATGAAGAGTTCTTCTTGCCCGTATGTGCTTTACTTAGAATAAAAATTTGTTATGATTGTAGTACGTGTCAGGATGTCTGTGTGGTCAGGTGCGTGTCTGCTGGTTTGTGAGAGTGTGTGTGAGTGTGTGTGAGGGTAGGTTTCTGAGAGTGTGTGTAACCCTATATGCTTGTGTACAGTTCGTCAGGCACCCTGATGCTAGTTGTTAGTTATTTTTGCCTTCTGCGATACAATTTTGATTTTTAGGTTTTAATATGTTTTGTTTAAATATTCATATAAATCTAAACTTATCTTTAACAACAACAAAATTATTATTCAAAAATTAACGGTAAAGTGTGTAAAGTGTAGTAAAGTTTGTGCACGATTAAGTGTTGTATTATCAATGCGCATCGGCTCCAATGTAGCAAAGGACATTATTTACTTTCATTGTTTTGTTTGACATTTAATATAATAATTAATTTGAAAATAATAACGATTATTAAACTTTATCACCACATGAGTGTAGAATGCACACATAGTATTGTGACATTTCTAACCACATGGCTTATTTGCTACCTTTTATTATTAGTTTTTGTTGAAGTTGTTTCTCTTTTTGTATGTATATGGTGGGTTCCTTGAACAAAAGTCCCATTAAATCTCTGGATTGTTTAGTGTTTAGAGAATATTTAAACAAATAATAAATAAAAAAATATTAGCAGATTTTTTCCTCAAGAATTATTGAATGATCAATCTTATTTAATCGTTGTAACTTAACTTTTTTGTTCCTTGAAATCGATTTATTTTAAAACTAAGTCTCAAATTCATCGCTGACTAGCTTTTTTGTTTTTGATACAGATAATTGTCTCCTGAAGGATCCGGGATTAAAATATTAAGCTTTCGTAAAGACGCGTGTCCATTAAATGGAAACCCTTTTTAAACCTAAACTTGGGTGTCTGACTTGTAGGGACTATCCACAGCTTTACTATACCATCACCATGAAAATGTGTGTATAAGTATATTAAAGAAAACAAAAAAATGTCGTCTTCCTTCGGTACTACTGTCAAATCTTGTTAGAAGAAATTAATGCCTGATAATTTAAAGTTAAGTATGTAGCATATTGGATGTTGGGATTATTTGAAGTATTTTGGCGAATCCAAAGACAGAAATTACAATGCGGTTTTGTGCTTTGTTGTAATTCTGCCAAAACATCATCAATAATTCCCATTTTATTTAGAAAATATTAAGATATGTTGTGTTGTGTATGATAGGGTACGATGGAATTGGCGTAGCTTTGCGGATAGAAACCCCTTATTACTTCTGCTCCCACTCCGAGAGAGCTGACAGTAGTAAAAACTTGAAAATTTATTTTTTATTGATTATAACAGGTTTTTTTTGTTTACTTTTCAATTCGCAAAGTTACGAATATATGTCTATGTTGTAAGTATGTGTATGTTTCTATTATATATAGTTATATTATCAACGTATTTCAACCCAAAATCAATTCTCGTGTAAACGAAGCCAATATAATATATACTACTACTATAATATACTTATATACAGAGGTGTCGGTAACGGGAACAGTGTCGCGAGTTCGATAGTTTTTTTCCCATCTCAAAAAATACATTCTTTTGTTTGTTGTTCAAAAATGCTCAACGCGCCTAAACTGGTTTTCACTTCAAAAGAAAAAAAAACAGTAAGTAACTCGACTAAATAAATAATAGTTTAAAAAAACTAAAAAAACACGCTTTTATAGAAAATCCAACTAAAAAACAGATATTAAGGTTTAATAAATTTGGATTAAGAATAGTGTAAGTTTTTTAAACTATTATTTATTTTTCATTTTTTAGTTAAATTTTTTAAACTATAAATTACTTAGTTCCATTTGCTAACTATCAACCGCTACCATATTAGTTTTTATAAGGTTGTGCTGAACTGAGTGCCCGAAAGAGCAAGTCTGGAACTGCACGCATGCGTAGTTCGCGCACTAGCTCTGTCTCTCTTACTCGCATGCAAAGGATGCGGAAAGAAATTAATTAATCCTGGCGAATCTAATTAGGATAATCGGATATTTTGATCGGATTATTGCATTGTCATCGACCTTTGACAGGTGTGCAAAGTTTGAATCAAATCTGATCGTTCAAAGTAGGGCAAAATCGAGCTCAAAGAAGTCGGTTACATACAAACAAACAAACAAACATACAGGTGAAGCTAATAAAAGCGTGTTAAAAAAGGATAGATTAAAAAAGTATTGTCGTTAGCTAACCATTTTAAATATACCTATCACTCGTGTGGACATATATCCTAATAAAGTAGTACTAGTATTTGCAAGTTCTATGATTTCTTAAAACTCATTTATATTTTTATAATCTCAAAAATATATCTATACATAATTTAATAAATTTAAGTACTATTAAGAGGAAACTGTCATAAAAATCCAAAGGTTGTTACAAAAAAAAACAAGTGAATTTAAATCTATGAACGCACAGGGTGTAGTTTGACTAGGACGTATGCTTTTCGTACTAAGAGTACTCGGAGATATATTTCGGGTAAGGCCGATAAAATGGTGCTCTGTTCTTACTTTTTTAAATATCTACTATAAAAATCTACTCATTTATAAATTTTAATAATATATGTCGATTACAAATAAAATATATGTCGTAAAGGTTAGCAGTTATTGTAATATTGGTAATAAAGTGGGGTATTAAAGTGTTTAAAACTACAACTTTTCCTGATACCTGTGTATATATCGCTTATTGTAAAGCAAAGTTTAGATAGCGCTGTCAGCATTTTAAATACATATAAGCTATCAAGAAATGTGATACATCAATACTTCTTAAAGTTTTATAAAAAAAATTGATTTTAAATCACCTCATAATTATAAGGCACCGGTCCTTAAAAGAAAAAAAACAACTCGTATGTGTGTCTGTTTGTACTTTTTCAATTTAATTCAAGTTCACATCAAGTTAAAATTAATAAAAACGTATGTCTGCGGTACTTTAAAGATTAACAATTAAGCTTCTAAGTAAACCCAATGAAAATATACGACCATATAGAACTCGGCTACCCCAATTTAAAACCCAGTAAGGGTCATTTTTTCTGAAATCACTCTTTTTGCATATTTCGAACTTTTATAGTGAGTCGCGTGGAATTGTGAAATTACCTGCTTTAAAATCTTACAAATTAAGGATATTCTGATAATATAAAACCTAGTAAGTCGATTTTACAACTATAAAACCTAGTATGTCACTAACACTTGCTAGGTTTTAAAATGGTCAATGCAACTTACTAGATTTTCTAAATTGTGAACGAACTAAATTCTAGGGGATAGCGACGTGTGAGGGGATATCGCGTAAGGCTTTCTGGCTGAATCTTCTTGTGAATGATTCTTCAGTTGATTTAATAAGTGAAGGTGAAATGATAACAGAAATTAATTAATCAGTTTTTCTTCTTTTAAATTAATATAAAAACACATTTGTTTTAATAATAAATGATTCCAAAATAAATGTTTTCTGAATATTTTCCTTGCTGAAACATGCACATACTAGGAACTACACCGAAAGCATACGTGACAAGATACATTATACCCATTCCAGAACACAGCAAGTGCTTATACTAGGTTTTGAAACGCGTCAGGACAGAGGTAAAAGTTGAGTTTGTTCATTTTAAAAGTTAGTAAGGGGTACAAAACATGCGATATAAATTATTTTCGAAATATATTACTCATTTTGTAATCAGTGGTTAGTACTCTATCTAATAAATATCACTTTTTTACTTTAACTCTAACACTTTTGTTAGGCTAGTCCGTTTTATGTTTTTGCGCTCTCCTGTAAAATTGATCAAAAAGCACTTACTGCGTTTTAAATTGGGGCAGCCGAACTCTGCGGGTAGATTTAAAAGCATAATCTCACAACCAGTAAATAAAAATATTCACCAGCCGCCAATGCCATGATACCTACTAAAAATCTGCGCAACATGTATATCCATTTATGGAAGATAATTAAAACAGGAATAAGTTACGTGCTAAAAATGAATAATTGAAGTATTATGGCCCATTCTGAAATTGTAACTGTTAACCTTTAAATATACATATATCTCGATGTTAAATGAATGGTTTTATTTTCTCCATCTTTCCCATTTTTTTTTTTGTTTTCGTGCGGAAATCCCCTCGGATACCACCTGTCGGTGGCATGTCGGACTCGAACCGACTAAAACCGCACGCCGTCTCGGGTACTAATAGCCGGGAAACCAGGTATACCCTAGAAAGGAAGTCCCTGGTGCCCCGACATACCTCGGGTCATCTACAGACGAGTAGACGACCCCCCCCCGTGTGGGAACCCCATGTTCCCTGTGCTCCCTGGAAGCGAGCGCGCTTCGCAACGCGCTCGCCGCCACCCCGGCCTGCTTCTGCTAGGGTGACAGATGTCCATCTTTCCCCTGCATATAACGCAGTGTAAGATACATCGAATAGACCTGTTGCTGGGAGAGGCAGTTAATCGAACAAATCGTGTTGCTAATTTTTTTCCTTAGAGACTTTATCCTACTCCTGGACAAGAACGGTGGTAGACTAAGCCTTTAGTTTATGAATAGCAATCGCACAACTTATAAAATGCTACCAACTGAATTCGTGTACTTAATATAAATTTATAAAAAAATACTTAGATGTTACTTGTTTAAAAAGGGGAACAATAAATTACCTAACCCTACATTACTGCTTAACTCGACACGCACTTGACCCGGTTTTTCCCAGTTTTGCCCCGGTTCCATTAAATCTTATTTTTTTATAATTATTTAATATTAGTTACGTTTAAATGCT